CTTTTTTCTCTCAAACTCGTAAACTCACAGTCAATTCCAAGTTTATATCTTGCAATTCTGACATAACTCACGATTACGAGTTTGTATCTTTCAATTCTGAGAAAAGGTCAGAATTAAGAGATATAAACTCTGAATTGCGAGAAAAAGGTGGAATTCTGAGTTTGTATCTCATTATTCTGACTTTTTTTCTCAGCATTTTGAGAAAAAGTAAGAATTTTGATATATGAACTCAGAATTGCGAGAAAAAAAGTCTGAATTGTGAGGTTGTTTTTTAATTTTTAATCCCGGAGCTGAAACGGGCTTCCTTAGGGTCAGAACACTCTCCACATGGGCAGATTTTCCATGTTTCGAGCAGCTGTTGGGTGCCGGGGTCAAAGGTGCGAGGGAATGTAGTGTTACTTTATTGCTCTTTCTCCCAGAGGTCAGTGATGAGGGCCTAACTAAAAAATGCTCTATTTACTGACCCACTATTAAACATTGTTGTGATTATGAATCACTGTAACTGGGGAATTAAAAAGCATGCACTTGTATTTACAGGAGGCTTTTTGGTTTTTACACTTCAGCGGTTCTCTGCTACCATTCTAGAACCGGCTGTTCTTCCAAGAAAAAGATTTTTGTCTCGGAGCACGTTTTTGGGTCAGATGTCAAGCTCTGGTCTCTATGCAACAGCTGTACTAAACAGATACAGTTTTGCTGAAAGATGTGATGCTAATGAGGTTCCAGAAATATTGGTGAGGTTTGTTTCACCGCAGGCTCCTGCTGACAGACTTTTGGTCCACTTTGCATTTAGATTACAACAAAAAACGTAACCAGTCGCAGTTCATCTTGATCTCTTTTGGGTACAAATAATTGCGAAGCAATGTCAGTCTGTTGAACGGTTATGCAGTAAACAAATAGCAAAAATGTATATAGAGTTTGTCCAAATTTCTGTCCATCCAAAAGTAAAAAGTACTTAATTTCTCAGACAGTTTTAGAAAATACAGTTGTGCTCATGGATATCTATCTGTCACTCCTGTTGAACTGTTCACAATCAGGGTTATTTTAGTATAATCTATTTACTATTGTACTTTTATTTTTATTTTTATACTTTGTTTTCATTTTAATTTTAGTTACATTTTTAGTAATTTTGTTATGTGCTTTTGTCATTTTTATTAGTTTTTGTTTATTTTAAATATTACTATTGTTTCAAGTTAGTAATTTTAGTGCTTCAACTTAAACTAAATGAAAATTAGAAATGGTGCCTTGGCCACTAATTGAAATAAGTTTGTAATACGTTTTTCTTGTAATTTAATTATTTTATTTCATTTTATTTCAATTAACAAAATGTTTTATTAGTTTGCGTTTTAGATAACCTTCGCAATTTGCAGTTTATTTTCCCATTTCCCATTTTTTGAGTAAAACAGAATATTTCACAAAAAAATAAATAAATGGAGGGCGGGGCGGGGCTTGAGTTATCAATTTGGATTCGATTGGACTGTGAGAAGTGACAGGTAATTAGAGGGGAGGGGCTTAATGAGATGAGGCCTTGCTGATGTCAGCAAAAATGAACGTATTTCAGAGGTGGAGAAAGTTGACTTTTGACTTTTGTCTCTTTGCAACATCGATACTTGTTGAACTGAGTTGAATCAACACTGAACTGAGCTGAATAATGGCACCATTGTCATCTGTAGAGCTGCTTTATAGCTAAAAATTGATTTCATTCACAACTTATGTATTTTGCAAAATTAATTTTTTTTACTGTGAAATTGCTTTGAAACAATCTGTATTGTATAAAGCACTATATACATGTGACATTATGACTATATACACGTGACATGTGACATTAGGCTGGGACTGCGAATCGCTTGTCTAAGAGCACAACTCTTAGAAATAACAGCATATTTCACAAAAAAATAAATAAATGGAGGGCGGGGCGGGGCTTGAGTTATCAATTTGGATTCGATTGGACTGTGAGAAGTGACAGGTAATTAGAGGGGAGGGGCTTAATGAGATGAGGCCTTGCTGATGTCAGCAAAAATGAAAGTATTTCAGAGGTGGAGAAAGTTGACTTTTGACTTTTGTCTCTTTGCAACATCGATACTTGTTGAACTGAGTTGAATCAACACTGAACTGAGCTGAATAATGGCACCATTGTCATCTGTAGAGCTGCTTTATAGCTAAAAATTGATTTCATTCACAACTTATGTATTTTGCTAAATTAATTTTTTTTACTGTGAAATTGCTTTGAAACAATCTGTATTGTATAAAGCACTATATACATGTGACATTATGACTATATACACGTGACATGTGACATTAGGCTGGGACTGCGAATCGCTTGTCTAAGAGCACAACTCTTAGAAATAACAGCGTGCTCGACCAACACAATGCATGTTTCAAATGACTTATGTAAATGTTCCGATTGCTGAAAACCCGGCCCGTGCAGTGACAGTATCCCACAATTCCATCCCAGCGTTCCCCGAGGATGACTCTCTGCATACAGAACATTCTCCATTCAGATCCTAATCACAGGAGTGTGTCTAGAGAGCAGCGAGGAGCGCGCAGGGGTGGAGGTGAAATTATGCTTTTATACTCTGCATCTTGTGCCAAGCCTGGGTTTATGCTACAGCTGATGTACTAGGAGGGAAAATTGAATCTTCTCCCAGACTTAATCCTCAATTGCTCCACCTGTAATGCATTTTGGACTCACACGTTCGGTTCCCCCACACAGTTTCATGCTTATATTTCAGCTTTTTCTGCAGCAAGCCCTGAACCCAGAGTGTCTGATTATTTATCACAGGCCGGGCGAGATGTTTCAGACTGGCAGTTTTAAAATGTTTTGAGACTTGCAAATAGATTTAAGTGTAAACACCTCCAAGTCTGCATACAATTATTCTTTTCTCATGTATAACGTTGGCTTGAGCGCATCTTTCCAATGGAACTGAATGTTTGAGAGCGTTGTGACACATTCGTACACTAAACATGCTGGAAATAGCCTCACATTAATGCATTTGAGAGATCAATCTGGATTCGTTGCGAAAGTGAGCAGAAAACATTTAGACATTTAGAGAATACAAAAAGTGAAATATTTGATCATTGCATCTTATCGCGTGGAAAATGTAGTGCCACTTAGTGGAAAACCTGGGAATTGCTGCAGCATTTTAATTGGATTTTTGCCAATTATTTTCAACTAAGAATATGTTGTGGTACAGATGAAACACAAATGTCTCCTGCATTACTTTAGTCCAGGGTCATTATAGTTACATTTAAATATAAATAAATAAATGAATCAATCAATCAGATATTTTTGTTACTTGAAATAAAATACATGTTCAAAATCTTTAAATATTTAGCTTTTTAACTTGATGAACTAAAATATCTAAAACTGAAATAATAAAAGTTAAATAGAACGTAATAAAATTGATGAAATATTATATATATATATATATATATATACAAAATGTAATATATATAAACCAAAAACTACTTAATGACAAAAACACAATAAAAATACTAAAATATTAACTAAAATAGGAAATAAAAACGGATTCAAAATATTAACAAATACTATAATAGTACCTCAATTATAATCTTGGCTTTCTGTATTTTAAGACCACTTAAGCTCCTTTATACCATTTATAATATTCCATAATGCCAAATGAGCTTTTCCTTGAACATATTTCCCACTAATTGCATTAATCTATGATGACCTAACATCATAATACAGGATTTAGATATTTGTTTTAACAGGGGCATTTCCTTATCTTCAGAAACGGCTCTGCTGTGTTTGCGCTAGGATTTTTCCCTGCAATTTTTAACCTTATCTTTATTTTGCTGTTTGGAGGACATGACGCAAGGACTTAATATTAGTTGGCCCTCAACTGACCCGAGAACCGAGACCGGAAGAGACTGTTGCCTCTGCGGCTTTCCAAACAAGCACTCCCACATTCCCTGCAGCCGCTCCTCATCGGCGGGAGGCCGGGAATCTCAGAGCGTCACCGTGGGATGTGGACATCCATCAGACTCTTAAAATGCCTCGGCTGCCAGTTTCTGTCCAGCCAACGGAGAGATGGTCCTTAGTTCCTGTGCTAGACACTGGTTTTCTTCCTCCTGGGAATTCTGCCCACACTGCGAGTGCCTCTGTGAATGGCAGCCAGATTGGGAATACCATCATTCATAGGATTTTTGTTTGATCTCGTTCTTGCAATGATAGGGAGTCGTGTTTATCAGTGAATGTTAACTAGCCACTAATACATTAGCGGAAAACTGCTCAGCTAGAACTAATAGCCAAGAAAACCAAATGATGGTCATATGATTTTTGTTTGATCTTGATGGGGCATTAATAGGGAATGTTAACAAACTGTAAAATTGTACTGTAAAGTCATCAAGAACTTATACTGAAGAAGGACTGAAGAAAATAAACGCATAAAAATATGAAATAATTCTTCATATCTAGGGTTTTTTGGAAAAACACACAAAGTCTTAATTAAACCAGCAGAAAAACAATGACAGTGACTTGTTGTTTGACATCGCAGGGAATCATAATTATTAGTGAATGGTAATGAACCATGAAATTTTAGGTCTGCAAGAACAATACAGAAGAAATTTTGAAATCATTTTAAATAGTAATATTAAATAATTCTTCAAATCTGGGGCTGATAGATTATTAATGAACTATAACATTTGTGACTTTCATATGAATTTAGTTTACTATCACAAGGAATGATGATTATCAGTCTATGTTAATGAACTATAATATTCACTGTAAAATAAAAACCAGTCAGCAAAAGCCAATACCAAAGAAGAAAATCAAAAAAGTGAGATAAAATCGGATAAACACATCAGCCTACATGTAGTGTCATTTCACCTTTTGCACAGCATACACATAAAAAATAAAGTTGTTTAATATTTAGGTTTTAAAAAAGTATTTTGATTTCTCTTTTTCTTTTCAAATGTGAAAAATCTATTTCCCGCCAGTTAATCGGACCCCACACACGGAAAGGTCCTGATAATGACGCCAGTGTAGGTGAGTTATAAAAATAAAACGGGGAAGAAAGCACGTGGACGCGAGCAGCTGAAATCAATAAATCAACTGATTGATGCTCTGAATCGGGTCTGATCGGGATACGGAGCAGCGCGCGCTCTCTCTGTTTAAGGACCGCCTCGCGAGCGACGGGACACTGGCCAATACGATCCAAAAGTCACGGAAATCTTTGTGTAGCGAGAGTTTCCACGCGTGAAAATGATCCAAGAGGGGGAATAATCCGAGAGCACGCGAGAGAAACAAAGAGAGGGAGAGAGAGATCACTGATGATGATGATGAGGAGGAGGAGGATGATGGTGGTGGCCTAGAAACATCAGGAATTCCTCGTTCCGCTCGACTGGATCCCAAGACGATGGGGGAATTTACGCATTGCAAAGAAAAGGGACTCGCTTTTCTCCTCCGCGCACCCCGGCTTTACTTTTGACTTCGAGGATGCGTTGAAGTGTCCCAGTCCGAGAGTCACTGGCTCACGTGAAAAGGAACAGCGGCTCTGCGCATTAATGCGTGTGTGCGCGAGCGCGTACGCGTGCTCTCCCGTGACCGATGGCACTGGAATCCGTGCGCAACGGCTATGTGCGCACTTGTGTCACTCCCGTGGAGCAGGACTGCTGGCACTCGTGCTTGGCTCTCGTGTGGAGCCGTAGGAGCCTGTCCTCGGCCGTGTGCGTCGCCTCGCTGTCCGTGCTGCTCGCGCTGCTAGCTCAGTCCGCGGACTGGGACGCGGAGCGCGCACACGCGCACTCCAGCTCTCACTTGGTGACGCTCGTGGAGCTCGTGTGGCAGCTGCTCTCGCCCGTCTTCACGCTCGTGTGTGCCTTCTTCTGGGTGGGTGTGTATCTGCTCCGCTGCGGGGTGCTCATCCGCACGGCCGTGTTCCTGCTCACCGTGTGCCATCTGGGCGAAGCAGCGGCGCAGTCGCTGTTGGATGCGCAGCAGCTGTACTCGTTCACGGCCACCGCGCTGGTGCTGCTCGCCTGCCTGGCCAGCGGGGCGCTCATGGTGGTGCGGCTGGGTCAGGGCATCTCCGTGCTCCTCTTCATCAGCGTCATCAGGACCGTATCGCTGCTGTCGCTGCAGAAGGTGCGCGCCAGCTGGAGACCCTACCTGGCGTACCTGCTCGGGGTGCTGGGGGTCCTGTTGGCGAGGTATGCGGACAGGCTGCTGCCGGAGCAGGGCGCATCACACCGGGAGGGATCGAGGGGAGATATTCCGGTATTTAAGAGGCGCAGGAGGTCCAGCTCCGTAGTCTCGTCAGACATGGCACAGCACGGCCAGCCCAGGAGCAAGTCTCACAGGCGGACATCGCTGCCCTGTTTGCAGAGAGACCAGGTATGTCCTCTTTATTGATAGTGCTGCTATCGATCGCAAACGACAATCGGAACGGGAACGTCTTTAGAAGTCCGATCGTGATCGTTTACTGTAACTGCTCGCGTATTAGCGGATTAAAACATGACATTGTTATTATTCCTGCCGCTTTCGATCACAAGAAGAACAATAATGCCGCGTCAGGACGCGCTTTAAACACTTTTTAGGCTGTATTGCTTCTGAATTCGGAAATTAAGCAGCTGTTCAACAACACGACTGTCTTAATGTTGCTTTTGCTGCTATTGATCATATTAATTAAAAAAAATAGTGTCACACGTTATTGTTTGTTTGCATAAACTATAGTAGTGGTACTAATTAACTGCATGCACTTACTGCTGTTGTAAGTAATTATAATACCATAATGCAATGTAAAGTGTGTTACCTCTTATTATTACATGATCATAAATCTATGAAAATGTATTTCTGTTGGTTGTGTTTTTCCAGAGTTTTTTGTTTTCCCTGCCACTTACTTGGATACTTGGAATACTTTCACTCAAGCATGCATTCTTAGATTTCATGTATGACATAATATCAGCAGGAAAAGCTCATGGCTAAAGCAGTGAACTTTGAAGTCTTGTACTCTATTTGGTGTGTTTTTGATTTTACAGCTGTGCTGACATGCTTTGTGTTATATTTTAAATTAGCACATAGACGAAAATCTCACAGAACTAGCATGCATATAGACTACAGTGGAGATTTCTGCACAACGGGGTTGCAAAAGCATGTAGAAGTGTGTTTGTGCATATTAGAGGTATTTTACATACACACACAGGTACAGACGACTGTGTGTAGCACAATTTGGCTTGTCAACGGGATGTCATGGCGTTTGGCTGCATGTACAGTAAAGCAGTACATTTCTTAAGCTATGTAGCTTAAAAGAACGTAACATGATCAGATACCTTATTTTTGTACATTTTTGTCATCAAAGTAAATTTTTTTGCAAAAAATTATATATATATATATATATATATATATATATATATATATGAGAGAGAGAGAGGTTAGAATTATTACATATAAAATTACAATATGCAGGATACAGCCTGTGCTATTCACTACTAATGTTTAGACTGTTGATTAGCTAAGTACACAAAATATTTAGCTGAAATGATCTAGTTATTGAAAAATATGTCCAAATAATTGGCTATCGTTAAGCATGGTGTTGAATAATTGTTAAATAAATTGCAAATATTGTAGTCACATTTGCTCATCTTTTTGTCCTGTTTGCAGGATTAATTTCAGCTCACTTATGCGAAAATAAGATGAACTGGCATTTAAAGTTTTGCATTAAATCCTTTAGTGAATGTAAATTAAGTGTCATGTTTTGCACTGTAACTCACTTTAGTCAATGGATGAATTTTGTATGAATTAAATATTTCTTCCTTTGCTATTCTCACTGGACATTTAGTGTTTTCACAGAGAAGTTGGCCTTTTTGCTGCTTTGGTCTCCCGAGTATTTAGTTTGCGCCCCCTAGTGGCCACATAATTAATGCATTAGGGACCTTTTGCCTACGGGAACCTTAAAAGGAACAAAATTTGTGACAAATCAATGTGTTGCCGGTGCAACACTTGTGAAATGGAAAAGAACACAGACTCCTGAGTGTGTTTTTCATGTTCTGTAACACACACCTGGTGCACATGTGTGATGTCTGGAGTGATATTAGTTCCTATAGCGGTTTATGTGCAGTTGTTTTATCTGTGTGGTCTGGCTGTGTAAACATACCAGCGTGTGACCCCTGCGCTGTTCACGTCGTCCCGGCTGTCTGCTCTGACAATAACCTGTGTGTCTTAATGGGCCACACAGAACAGACGAGCTTTTGGTGTCTGTTTGACGTCAGAGTTTGGTTGGTGGGAAAGCGGTTTTCTGCGACAGGAACTCTGTGAACTTTGGTTCGGTTTGCAATTGTTATGAAAACATTGATGAGATCAGGTATTGGTGATGTTAATGTGCATGTTTGCATGCTCCTGACATCATTGCACGCTCCTATTTTTAACATAAAAGCAGTGTGTTTGTAACTTGACTTTGCAAGACTTCTGGTGTCATTCGCTTCCAGTTATTCTAGCTGTACAAAAACAGTCGGTTATGCTGATTGATATTTCAAACAGGTATTTGTTATCATATTATTTTAATATATTATCATAACTATAAACACACTGGTTTGTAGTGCAAATGCTCTTACCATTTACGGCACTTATTTATTTACCTATAGCTACTGTATACCTATGACTTAAAATTCCGAAGTCTCACACTTTCACAGAAAATGGCTTGCTTGAAGGTGGATGGTGCATTTCTCATAGCCTCTCATCTCCAAATAAATCATCTTTAGAAAGCTGCTTGTGTTCTGTGCATCTCTTGCAGTGCATCTGCAGACAAATGCTAGTTTGTGAAGATTTGTTGGTAAATCCAAAGAGACAAATACTTCATTAACACAGTAAAACATGTCTAGTCATTACCAAGCTACAGGAGTGGCCAAAAATGATGTCTGGAGGGGACATTTGCACAATGTTTGCTTTTAATGAGCCTACAAGTTAAATTAAACCATCAAAATATGAGGAACAAGTTAAATTGGAAAGAGGAAAACGCTAGACTTGGTTGAGGTATTTAGCTGACAAAATTGTGGCAAAAAAGGCAAACTAATGTGAATCATGGAATATAGGTTTTATTTTACTATGCAAACAAATGCATAGAAAAACTAAAAGCTCACAGGAAATAAAACGTATTGACTACAATATAATCAGTTGTTAATATTTCATTGGTTCTCCCTTGTATTTGATTAGCAGCCATTCTCACGCTCATTCCTTAACAATTGTGTTTCACAGATGAAAAAAATGAAATGTGGAGCACTTACAAAAGTTTTACTCTCTCCATGCACAACTACGCAATATGCTTAGAAAATAGCATCAATATGTTTGAATAAAGGGTGAATATATCCAGATATCACTTTTGGCCACTACTGTACATGATGTAGTTCACATTTAATGAGTGTTTCTGTATCTCAAACTGTAGAGCAAAGAATGAATGCATGAACTGACAAAATGCAATGTAAGTCACTTAAAAATAGCATCTTCCAAAATGATATAGACTTATAATAACAGGCTATTGTATCTTATCGTCACACTCTTCTGTCTGAGCTACAGAAATATTTACATTTTAATTGTAAAATGTTACTGATGCAAATGTACAACAACTGAGACCCAAAAGTACTAAGTGAAGTCTTATTCGAACTGAGCATCAAACTCGCATTAGTAAATCTTTTCATTTGGGAGGTTGGTTCATAAACAGGAAGTGAGCTCAGAGCGGCTGTGACCATTAGCTGTCGTCCACTCAGTAGAGCACATGCCCTGGGCGCTTTCAGTGATGAACAGAAAATGATTCTCATTTTGAACATCGCTGTGTGAAGTGAGTTATGTAACGTTCTTCAAATGGTTTGGTCTTTGTATAGACTTGAATAAACATAAACGTGGAGTTGGGATTTTAATAAACGTGTCTCAATGTCGAGTTTATGAACAGTGTGGCCTGATCTTCTCAATCTGATACAAAGCAGACAGTACTTGCACTTTGGACTAGGGGTAGACCGATATGTGTTTTTCAGGGCCGATACCGATTATTACAGATCAGGTAGACCGATAACCGATATTATGAACCAATATATATACAGTGTGCCTGATGTAAAAATGAAAATGTCAAAATTAAGAATAACAAGGGCTCTGACAAAAACGTGTAGTACTCCCACACTGCACTTCTTACTCTTGTCTTCCTCTGTGCATCCATCTGCAATAAGGGCAATATAAAGAGAGAGTTAAAAGTGGGGCCACTGTATGCTTCATGATTAAGCCTATGAATACTGTACTACAGCTAAACAGCTTGGGGAAATGTAAGTATTTGGCTTCAATAATGTACATGTTAGAAATGTATGTGTAATAGCATAACCTCTCATAATTCCTCATTAATTCTTTTCTGATGACTAAAACATAACCTACAATAGTAGAGGTGACTATTCAATTCATCCATCAATGGATTAACTTAAAAAAATGTATATAATTAGTGTAAATTATTTAATTGTCTTCATAGCTATATTGTAGAAGTTAAGAAGACTGCAACTATTTTCATGAAACTATAACACTGATAGCCTTTAACAGGCACACTTAGTTCAATAGCCTATTGAAATGTATTGGCCTATGTGACACTAGAAATTTCAGTTAGTTTTAATTTACAGTACAGTGCAAATGAAGGCATAAATTAGTTTAATTTATCTTTTAATCAAATGAGAGTTCAACTCTTTATTTTTTGGCAAACAAAGGGTTTACTATTAAAATTAAAACATGGAAGAAACAGCGTATTGTGTGATTATTCTTTTAAACAAAAGTTGTATTAATTGTTGTAGTAGTATTATGCATATCATACTGCACCACATAATATATTTCTGATCATTTCTTTAAGCTAACCCAAACTTATATTTTGACGGGTTGCCATGAAGGAACTTTTAAGTTTCTGTAGCCTATGTAAGTGTTTCCCATACATTGATTTATTTCTGACCGCCACAAATAGATTTTCAAAAAGTCTTTGATGTCATTGAATAAACATGAGCACTGCATGTTTCAAAATTGAAACCCGGTGTGGGTGTTTTTATATCACTGTATTTCTGAAGGGACCCGACTGTCTTCAGAAAATTTTGGATGTCATTTTCATTTCATCTTGCATGTAATATCTGATAAAGCAGCGTTTGTGAGTGAAGCGCTGCTTTGTGTACAGCATTATCGGGGAAACCTTGATCTCTACCACTCCGAAAGCACCTCCTGCTGACATAGAATGAATTTGCATATATATGCCTCCACAAGTTTGTGGGAAACACTGCGATAGTTTTAGTCAAATAAAACTGTCAAATGCTCATGAAGTGACTCTGAGAGGGAGTCAGAGCATTTCTGGAGATATCGTTCATGTATTTATGTCCTCATGTAGTGAG